TATCTCTCTTGAAAATGTAACATATAATAGTTATTGTATTAAAATGTTGTATCAAATATAGTCTTACATTTAAAATTATTTGATTATGTATTTTATTTATTTTCATTGCAAGACACAAGCGTACATATAATTATTTTCAGATATATTTAAGAGGATATCCTTTATCGTCTATGGTAAAAGTTGAATTTTAGAGATAAATACATACTTGAAAACACATATGTCCATTATGATTTCTACATAATAATAAGATCAAAGGAAAGACTAACCCTAATAATGAGCAATAACGCCAAAAAATAAAATTTAATGTAGTTACATTCCTGTGGTATTTTGGTCTCAATTTTTATAATTAAGTTCTATTGAAGTGAAATATTGTCATGTTATTTTTTTTTTTAAATATGGTAGTGATAGATGACTAAGCCAAGTGTAGTTAGGTTTTTGTGCTCATTATGGTTAGATTATAAATTGAGGTAATAAATATAACTTGGAGAAAACTTTTGTCTTACTTTTATTTTGGTTTGAACGGGTTGATTTCTTAGAGTTTAAAGAGCAATTGCTTAGTAGAAATTAAATTATTTGAGTAGAATGAGTATGAAGGATTTCTTGACTAATAAATTTGAGACAAGAAATAAAGTTTTAAAACTTCTACAATTATACACGTACAAACTGATTGTGATAGATAACAAAATTAGGAACAATTAGTGCTTGTATATAAATATGACAAATCTTTTTACATGCTCGTAGAAATATTTTTGGCAACGTTTCTAATATAATTAATATTATAATTCTAAATGTTATAATATTATGCAATTATGGAGCTGTTTCTTTGAAGGAAACTTTATATTTTAGAATGGATTGAATCCCAATAGAAAAAGGTTATTTAGTCTTAACCCAAAATTATNCTGGATCGAATCCCAATAGAAAAAGGTTATTTAGTCTTAACCCAAAATTATATTTATACCCATTATTAAATTGCTACATAAATGAAATATTAACTTTAAAGGGCAAAAAGGTCGATCAACTTTTCGAGGATATTTTCGTCTCTTAACATTTAGCTTCCTAATATTTATGCTTTTATAATAATATAGATAGATAGATATAGATATAGATATAAATACAAAGAAAGAGAAAATTGTTTCGTATTATTTGAGCTATTCATCATGATAATCACACCCAATAAAATGGAACTTATTCATCGTCGAAACACATGCTCTTCGCCTGAGCCTCGATCAACATGCCTAATCCAATGTTTGGCATTTTTTCTGGACTTCAGATTTCCATTATCATTACTTGCTATATAAGCAATCTCTAATCCATTTCCAACTGGAACTGTTACTGCTCTTATAGCACGTACTTTGGCGTCAAGGACCCCTTTCCAGCTGAACTTAGTGCTACTTATTTTATTCCCTTTGCTTTCATTTTTACATACCAAAATCGCTCCATGTTGGTTCAGTTTAACACTATTAAAAGCTCTAGTAAAGTCTTGTGTCCAACCATCAACAACAAGAAAATCAACCCTACTCAGCTTTGATCTAATTATCTTATCCACCTCTCCCACCACGACTTCCGGCAAGGATACGTGGCGTGATAATTTTTGCATGGCACTGACGTATTCTACTCTGGACGCTTCGTCCCTTACGACGCATATGTGCCTTCCATGCGTGTGATTCGCGGCGATGGCTAGACAGATGAAAATGCCATAATTAAGTAAATAAAAGTATAGTCTCTCTAATATTTTAAAGATTTAAATAAGTGGTCACACAATTTAACATGATATCATAGCAGACAAATGTCATGGAGTCAAATTTTCCCACTATACCTGTGACGACCCAAAAGGATCATCACCTGTTTTTAATTGTATTATGTGCTTCCGAGGCCTCGAAAACCTCATTTAGAGTCGCCTTGATTTGCGTGCGCAGTTCGGGCGTGTAGCCGGAAAGCTTAAATATGAAATTCTGTGAAAAATGATGAAATTTGAGTTTAAAATGAATAAATTTGACTTCGGTCAACATTTTGGGTAAATGGACCCGGGCCCGTAGTTTGACGATCTCGGAGGGTCCGTAGAAAAATATGGGACTCAGGCATATGCTCGGAATCGAATTCCGAGGTCTAGAGCCCGAGAAATAAATTTTTAAAGGAAATTATTTTTATGAAATTGTTAAGGAAAATATAATGAAATTTGATTAGAACGTGTTGGTATCGGGCCCGTATTTTGGTTCTGGCACCCGGTACAGGTCTTTTATATGATTTAAGATGTTTCTGTAAAGTTTGGTTAAAATCGGACGTCGTTTGACGTGTTTCGGACTTGAAATCCTAAATTTGAAACTTGATGAAGTATTTGGAAAAATTCTTGATTTTGAGGTTTGATTCATTGTTTTAAAGGTTATTTAGGCGATTTGATCCCACTGATAGGTTCGTATGATGATGTTGAGTTAGTGCATGTGTTTGGTTAGGAGCCCCGAGGGCTCGGGAGTGTTTCGGAGGTGTTTCAGAGTGGTTTTAGACTTATGAAAGTTGCAGGTTTCCAGTTCTAGTATGGTCTTCTTCGTGTTCGCGGGAGAACCCTCGCGAACGCGATGAGTAATTTGCTGAAGGAAATTCCCTTCTACGCGAACGCGTGGACCAGGTCGCGAACGCAAGGCAACGGGGGGCTAGACCTTCGCGAACGCGTTCCTGGCTATGCGAACCCGAAGGCCAAGTGCTTGGGCAGGGGGGATGGGTAGAACACCTTACGCGAACGCGACCCCAAGGACGCGAATATGAGGGCTCGAGAAGCTACAGCTTCGCGAACGTGAGCCCCTATCCGCGACCGCGAAGGCCAAAAAGCCTGACCCATCGCGAACGCGAGAGGTCTATCGCGAACGCGTAGAGTCATTTTGCCCAGTTATTTTAAAGTTCCAAAACAGAACCACAAACGGGATTTCATAACATTTTCATAAACCCTTTCTTCTCCAAAGCTCCTAGGCGATTTTTGAAGCATTTATTCACCAAAGTTTCTTGGGTAAGCATTGTTTAACTCGTTTTCTTCATTTTCCATCAACATCTATTGAAATTCTAGGCTTAAAACATGTAATTAAGGGTAGAAATTAGGGAATTGGGTAGAGCTAGGGCTTTTTGATTTTTCTTGATTTAGACCTCGTTTTGGGGTCGAATTTGAAAACAAATTATATATTGGGGCTCGTGGTCGAATGGGAGATCCAATTTTGGTCTGAACCTCGTGTTTTGACCAAACGGGCCCAGGGTCGATTTTTGGCATTTTGGGAAGAATGCTTGGAAACCTATAATTAGGCATTGGGTTCGCATTGTTTAGCATTTATTGATGTATTGAAGTCATTATTGTATATATACAATTGATTTGGAGCCAAATTCGAGAGGAAAAGCGGTAATTGAGGGTTGATTTGGCCGTGAATGTTTGAGGTAAGTGTTTGGTCTAACCTTAGCTTGAGGGATTAGGGATTGAGTCTTATTTGCTATGTGCTAATTGTCGAGTACGATGTATAGGCATGGTGACGAGTATCTATACGTTGGTGTCTAGCATGACCGTGAGTCTTTATATTGCGGATATTCTGATTTTTGTTGTATCTTTCATGCCTTGATGATGATTTCTATATGTTGTAAAAAGCATGTGAAAGAAATTATGATCTTTGAACTTCGAGGAGCATTGGCTCGAGTTATAATACGAATTATGAAAGTATATGAGATAATTGAACCCTTTGGAGCATTGACTCAAGTGGTATAATGAGTTATAAAGTAAGAAGTGATGGAAAGAGAAAGAGTTATTGAAATGTTCCCTTGCCGGGATGTTTGTTGCTTTGTTGGTTATCTCCCTTGCCAGAATGTTGAGATTTATTGATATTGCTCCATTGCCGGGATTTAGCTGTTTAATTGTATTCCCTTGCCGGTATTTCTACCATTATTTGTCTACTCCTTTGCCCCTTTGTTTGTGATTGTTGTTTAGGTGAGGAAGAATGTTAAAGCACGAAGGGTGATGCCGTGCATTGTTTGCTATTATGGGGAAATAGTGTAAAGCACGAAGGGTGATGTCGTGTTGTACGATGCACCATTCCATACCGATATTCATTGACTATGTGGTGAGGAAAGAGAGTAAAAGCACGAAGGGTGATACCGTGCACATTATTATGATACGATTGAATTGGTGAGAACGAGAGTAAAAGCACAAAAGGTGATGTCGTACACGTTTTTATTATAAATATTGTTTGGGTGAGGACGAGAGTAATAGCATGAAGGGTGATGCCATGCAAATCGTTGAATTTTGATTCTTGAAGATATTCTGGCTTTGTTGTTTCTTTCTTTTATTAAGGTTTTCGATTTGGAACTGTTACCTGCCCACAACATGTTTTCCCTTCCCACATTGACTGATTATTTCCTATATTTCTTTTCCGTTGTACATATAGATATTTGAACTGCACAAGTTATTTGGTAGTCTGGTCCGAGGCGTCCGTAGGCCCAACATCTCCTCTATCTTATATTTCATTCTGTTATCTCATGTATTCGAGACAAACAATGTTATATTTCTTTCAAACGATTGTATTTAGTACTCTTAGTAGTTCGTGAGTGATGTGACACCAGTTCTTAGGTAGAGACATATGTTGACTTTCGCATTATTGTTCAGCTTATTTAATTTAGGTCTTCCGCTTATTTATTTAATTCCATTGTTTTCATGTTATCACTGATAATTGTTAAAAGAAGTAATTTGTTAATGAAAAAGGTAGTTAAGGGTTGACTTGCCTAGCTCTCGTTAGTAGGCGCCATCAAGACTCCCGAGGGTGGGAAAAAATCTGGGTCGTGACAAGTTGGTATCAGTGCGCTAGGTTACATAGGTCTCACAACTCACGGACAAGCTCAGTAAAGTCTGAGGGATCGGTACGGAGACGTCTGTACTTATCCCCTAGAGGCTATAGAGTTAGGAAAATTTCACATTTGTTCTTTCTTGTCGTGCGGATTTGTTCCTCAAATGCTAATTAGATTTCTACTCTGTTCTTTCGCAGATTGCGAGAACATACACTTCCTCATCTACCGCTCAGCAACCCAAGCCCCCAACAGCAGCTCCCACTAGGGGTAGAGGGCTAGGCCGAGGCCGTGCCAGAGGTCGAGGTAGGGGCAGACCTCAGCCCTGAGCAGCAGCACCAGTGGCGGAGCCTCGGGTTGATTTTGAGGAGGAGGTTCCGGGCCCAGCAGCTCCGGTGGGCCCAGCATGTCCCAGAGGGGTTCATTGCCACCTCAGTTCTTCAGGACGCTCTGGTTCGATTGGTGGTCCTCATGGATAGTGTCACCCGAGCGGGTTTGCTTCCCGTAGCACCAACCACTTCTCATGATGGAGGAGGGGCTCAGACTCCTACTACACGCACTCCGGAGCAGGTGGCTCCCCAGATTCAAATTCCAGCGGTTCAGCCAGCTGGAGCAGTTCAACCGAGTATAGTAGCTCAGACCGGCGATGGAGTGGCTATGTCTGCCTGCTTTGTGGAGGCTAGATAGGTTCACCAAGCTTTTCACTTCTACATTCAGCGGTGCATCTACTGAGGATCCCCAGGATTATCTGGATAGTTGTCACGAGGTTCTTTGGAACATGGGGATCGTTGAGACCAATGGAGTTGATTTTGCTACCTTTCGTCTGTCTGGATCTGCCAAGACTTGGTGGAGGGATTATTGCTTAGCTAGACCAGCCGGTTCACCATCTTTGACTTGGGAGCAGTTCACAGCGTTGTTTTTGGAGAAGTTTCTCCCCATGACTCAGAGAGAGGACTTTTGGAGGCAGTTTGAGCGCCTTTAGCAGGGTTCCATGATAGTTACCTAGTATGAGATCAGGTTCATCGATCTAGCTCGCCATGCTCTTATCATACTTCCCACTAATAGAGATGCATCAGTGCTATTCGATCTAGGGTCTACGTATTCGTATGTGTCATCTTATTTTGCACCATACCTGGTCATGCCTAGTGATTCATTGAGTATTCTTGTTTATGTGTCTACACCGGTGGGTGATTCTATTGTGGTCAATCGAGTTCATCGTTCTTGTATTGTGGTGATTGGGGGTCTTGAGACTCGTGTAGATTTTTTGCTTTTAGACATGGTTGATTTTGATGTTATATTGGGGATGGACTGGTTATCACCTTACCACGCTATCTTGGATTGCCACGCTAAGACTATGACCTTAGCTTTACCGGGTATACCTCATTTAGAGTGGAGAGGGACTCCTGTTCATTCTACCTGCAATGTTATCTTATATGTGAAGGCTCGGGGTATGGTCGAGAAGGGGTGTTTGGCCTATTTGGCGTATGTTCACAATTCTAGTGCTGAGGTTCCCTGTATTGATTTTGTGCCTGTTGTTTGCGAGTTTCCTGAGGTATTCTCTTCAGACCTGTCGAGGATGACACCCGACAGGGATATTGACTTCTGCATTGATTTGGCTTCTGGCACTCAGCCCATTTCTATCATGCCGTATCGCATGGCCCCGCCAGAGTTGAAAGAGTTGAAGGAGAAGTTGCAAGACTTGCTTGAGAATGGTTTCATTAGACCTAGTGTTTCGCTGTGAGGTGCTCCGGTGTTGTTTGTTAAGATAAAGGATGAGTCAATGAGAATGTGTATCGATTACCGGTAGTTAAACAAGGTTACAATCAAGAATAAGTATCCATTGCCGAGGATTGACGATTTATTCGATCAGCTTCAGAGTGCCAAGGTATTTTCAAAGATAGACTTGAGATCTAGCTACCATCAGTTGAGGATTAGGGCCTCCGATGTCTCTAAGACAGCTTTCCGCACTCGGTATGGGCATTATGAGTTCTTGGTTATATCGTTCGGGTTGACAAATGCCCTAGCAGCCTTTATGGATTTGATAAACCGAGTGTTCAGGCTTTATATGGACTCATTCGTGATTGTCTTCATTGATGATATTTTGAAATATTCCCGTAGCCAGGAGGAGCACGAGCAGCATCTCAGAGTGATTCTTCAGACTCTCAAGGATAGTCAGTTATATGCTAAGTTCTCAAAGTGTGAGTTCTGGTTGAGTTCAGTTGCATTCCTGGGTCATGTTGTGTTAGCAGAGGGTATTCAGGTTGACCCGAAGAAGATTGAGGCAGTAAAGAACTAGCCTAGACCAGTATCAGCTACAGAGATTCGGAGTTTCTTGGGATTGGCAGGCTACTATCGTCAGTTCGTGGAGGGGTTTTCATCTATTGTAGCCCCGATGACCAGGTTGACCCAGAAGGGTGCCCAGTTCAGATGGTCGATGAGTGTGAGGCAAGCTTTCAGAAGCTCAAGACAGCTCTGACTACGGCACCGGTGTTAGTTTTGCCCACAAGTTCAGGGCCTTACACAGTCTATTGTGATGCTTCTCGTATTGGGCTTGGTGCAGTATTGATATAGGATGGCAAGGTCATTGTCAATGCTTCGAGGCAGTTGAAGATTCATGAGAAGAACTATCTGGTGCATGATTTGGCGTTGGTAGCCATTGTTCACTCATTGAAGCTTTGGAAGCACTATCTGTATGGTGGTGTGTGAGGTGTTCACAGATCATAAGAGTCTTCAGTATTTGTTCAAGCAAAAGGAGTTGAATTTGAGGCAGAGGAGGTGGTTGGAGTTGTTGAAAGATTATGACATCACTATCTTATATCACCCTAGAAAGGCCAATGTGGTGGCCGATGCCTTGAGTAGGAAGTCAGCTAGTATGGCCAGTCTTGCTTATATTCCGGTCGGTGAGAGACCGCTTGCCTTGGATGTTCAGGCTTTGGCCAATAGGGTTGTAAGGTTGGAAGCCTAGTCGTGTATTAGCTTGCACGGTCGCTTGTTCTTTTTTATTGGAGCGTATTCGTGACCGGCAGT